TCTGCATAGTCTTCCCTTCCGTGAAACAAGATGACTGCTCTTGGCAAGGCAGTTCCTAGTTTTGAGTGTGTGAGGAAGAGACACTTGTGTGAAATTCCAGTGAATGGGGCTGGACAGGTGAATGGGAAGCTTATGGCCTGGAGGTGCCTGTTCTGACAGAAGCCTATGGGCCAACAGGGGTCCGAGGCCTGGTTAGCGCTTCCAGGAGGGAATATTAAGCTGTAAAGAACAAGGGATGGCAGGACAGGATGTGCTGCAGCTGGCGTGGAAATCTGCTTGAAGAGGCAGAAGGGTGGGCAGCTACCAGGCACATTCAGTAGGGGACATTGAGATGACTACGATTGGCCCTGGAGCAGTCAAAATAGAGTCGATGTAACAAAACACCCTCTAATTCTGGGCCGAGTCCCCTGGTCTCTGAAAGGAAACTCTTCACTTCTGTTTGTCCCAGAGATGTGGCATCTTTTCTCCTGGCTGGAAACCAGCTCTTGGCAAGCAGAGTAGATGGCTTTGATGTGATACCATGGGCACCAGTAACTCCTCTGGCTGCAGTTCTGGCCCTATAGGTTATGCCCTTCATCCTTTTAAAAATAGAAACAAGAGGGAAGAAACCATAGAAGGAAACCACAGAAACTCAAGACCAGGGGAGGGGAACACTACTCTCATCATTTATTCAAAGCAGGGCCTATTTTGTTTCCAAAGTGTTTTAAATTAAACTTAGTTGTATATTGTTCTCTCTCTTTTTCAGAATGTGAATATTTGCCCTCAAAAGTACCCACCATATGTGTGCGAGCTTTGTAACAAGTATTACCCCTCTTGACACTGTACTACAATTAAAGTATATAAATAAAATGTTAAAAAATATAAAAAATCACTTAGATGTTAATAACTATGAGCTAAGTTATTTTGGAAACTTTCATGTCAATTTTAGAGATTGAGATTTTAATTTCCATGAATCAACTAATTCTTCACAACTGTTTAAACAACTTAAGACTTCTTTTTAATATAATGATCTCTAAGCCCCTGAGGTATAGGTCAAAATGCAAATGTCTGAAGCCACTCTGTCTTGAGCCCGTGATTATCCATAAAATCTGTGCATTTTATCTAAATGTCTTGCTGTGAATAAGCGAAGCTGGACCATAGAAGAGAACATAATGAACACCTGTGAGTCTGTGCCAGGGGTACTATTAATTCATAAATCACTTTTTCAGTTGATAGTGGAGGATACTTAGAAGTACCCAGAACATACAGTTTGTGCTACTAACAATACAGTATTAGTCTATACCGCAAATGCAGAACCTGGAAGTGTGTCAGTAACTGCCAGAACAGTGAAGAAAATTTCTTATTCTAAGACTAGAGAATGGAGTCCTAATGCCCCTATTGTGAAAGATTTGCTGTTGTAATGTGGATTAATGCACCACCAAGAGGGGAGAGGTTTTGTTTTATAATACACAGTGTAAGAATTCAGAGTTCCTGGTACTTTAACTCACATTTTCTCTTTTATTTATTCTTAGAATTCAACCCAGTAACAGTGTAAACATCATCCTCTGCTGTGTTCTGGTCATAAAATAAATATTGCCGCCTCCTCTTGTAGTCAGGGTTCTTTGTAGCTGATATCTTCTGAAAGCCATAATTCCTTACCCCGAGTTATAGATTTTGCCATTATGCTACATTCCCACCCCCTCTCCTCTGTCTCTGGGGGGCTCCCTTTTCAGCCACCCAAGTGTCCACCCAGCTGCTTAGGCCTGCAGGTAGGTGAGTCCTCCTGAGTGATTCCTGCTCCTTCAGCCCCTCTGCAATACACTCGGCCTACAACTGTTCAGTGGCTCTGTCCCTAAGCATTCACAAAGCAGTACTAAGCCAGAGACCATCCACAGTTCTCCAGCACTGTCTCTCTGCTACTGTTTTCTCTAGTACTCTTTCTCACAAATTCTAGATATCTCTGCCTACTTGCACTTCCATCTCCATCTCCTCAATTCAATGAGACTGACAGGTGCCCCGGCAGAACTACAGCCTATCCCTCTGACCAGGCGAGCAGCTGGGGCAATCACAGGTGTCTCGTCACTTACTCTCCTTTTCTAAGAAATCATAGTCCTAGCCAATGCCCCAAACATCTGGTTGATGAATACATTTTGCACAGCTATGGAATAAAATCAAATTGGTTATTTGCCTTGATAATTAAATACACTCACATTTAGTTTTGCCTTTATGCAAAAATATAGTAAAGGACAAAGTAAAACAAAATAATCTAAAAATCACCCATAATCCCACCCTACAGCTAAAACAGTTGTTCACAGTTTGGTTTGTGCCCTTTTCTTCTTCTTTTCCTTCTTTTCTAGTTGTTCATGGTAGGAGGACAATTTCCATAACAGTGATCCTTTGTGGGTAGACACAGAAGTCCTTGTAGTGTAGTTTTACATTTGACATTGACCATTTTTATGGGAATTCTTGGCTTGAGATTCCTACCACATGGTGCTATAAATGTGGATCCCACCAGCATACATTACTGGTTTAAGGAACCCATTAATTTTTTTTTCTATCCAGAACCACCCCCAGGCAGATGGCAAACTTCTGTATAGCTTCTCTATGTTAGTTGGTGATATTTTTACTATTGCCATTTTTGTTTTGACTAAGTCACCCTTTATACATCCCAGATTTGTGCATAGGCATTAAAACTCCAGTCCCAGGCTCTAGGGCCTATACCTAGGTAAAATCTGTATTTTTGCATTATGGAGTTTGTGCATATTTGATTTTTATGTACTTGAAATATTTTAGATAGTTAGCCTGGTAGCAGCTCAGCTTTGTGATTCTAACTTAAAATGTTTAATTGATTATAATTTTATGTTGTCTCACTAAGTTTATATACAATATGAGAACATTTAAGAGAACCCCAAATTTTCCATACTTATATACTTAATTTAGTAGATAATTAAAGTTATTTAAGTTGTTGGGATGTTTTTGTTTAAGTCAGATTATAGTTATACTTAAAATGGAAAGGAAATATATTAATTTATACACATAGCTTAACAAATTAAAGGGAATTTAGTTATGCTATAAAAAGCAGCCCTAAATTTATTTTTAATGGCTAGATTTTTAAATAGAAAAAGAAGATTGCAAAGCTGAACTAAAGGATTTAGGAAGATCTAGGCTTTAAAATTTGTAACTTGACTATATTACACATTTATTTTATAAAACTAAACTCTGAATAGTCTTTTCTGTGTGGCAATATGATCCCCTGTGTACCAGTGGCTCACATTTAGCAGGTTATAGATCCATAAATCCTTACGTGTTAGAAAGTACCTTCAGCATCGTTAAATTGATGGATTAGAGTTTCAGTTATATTTTCCCCTGTAGAAATAGCAACTTTTTACCTAAGCTATTAAATCACGGTGTCGTTGGTTTAGTTTGGTCATTATAATGGCTGAAATAATTCTTATAACCATTTTATTGAGAGACCTCAGCTTATAGAGCTTGGAATACGGAAGCCATTTCCCTCACCGCATGCAATCTGTCCCATCAAGTCCCCAGCTGGACGGCAGGGATCCTAGTGAGAGTACACTTTGACTTCATAGCTTTCATGCAATTTCCGAATTTGGAATATACAGTTTTAAAATGGTGTTTTCATTTTATTCAAAATCCTTCTTGCTTTCTCCCCAGTCTGGGCTCCAGTGGGTGGAATTGTGGGAGGGGGAGGCAGGTTCTACTGGGAAACACCCACTTTTCCTGACTCTGCGGCTGGCCCTGGTGAAGCGTGCGCGGGGATTCCTTGCAGTCTTAGGTGCCTCTGTCCTGCACAGGCCCATGGCATGGGAGAGCGGCCACTGCTTGACCCTTTCCTCCTGTATTTGGATCTCTTGCAAGTGTCTTTCTGGGGCCACTTGTCCAGAGGTAGCCCTCTCGCCGAGGCAGGCAGGACTGCAGACTGTTCAAGGCCAGCTACCTGCCACATGGCCCACTGGACCCTCAAGAAACCCATGCACTTGCCATGCCTGAGAGCGAGAACACAGCATCTCACTCCTGCCGGGGTTCACTGAAATAGCGGCAGCATCGGGCGGTAGGCTGGACAAGTGAATTGGCAACCATCAGAGGAGAAGCAATTTTCAGCCCTGAACTTTGGAGAGGAGAGGATGTGTAGGAGCCCCTCCCAACCGTGTAGGGGAGACTCTTGCCCCATCCCCTGCACTTGGCAAGAGAAAGAAGAGGAAAAAACTTTTCATCATGACTATTTTCCCAGCGTGGGGTGTGTGTGTGCATGTGTGTGGTGTTGGGACAGGGGAGGACCAAACTTCCTAAAGCAGCTGCTGTTGGGGCTGCGTCTCTGCAAACCCCGCAGGAAGCAGCAGGCCCCGAAGCTGGCAGTTCTCTCAGTTGATAATGAGGGCTCTTCAATGCCTTTTTTTTTTTTTTTTTTTTTGAGACAGAGTCTCGCTTTGTTGCCCAGGCTAGAGTGAGTGCCGTGGCGTCAGCCTAGCTCACAGCAACCTCAAACTCCTGGGCTCGAGTGATCCTTCTGCCTCAGCCTCCCGGGTAGCTGGGACTACAGGCATGCGCCACCATGCCCGGCTAATTTTTTTATATATATATCAGTTGGCCAATTAATTTCTTTCTATTTATAGTAGAGACGGGGTCTCGCTCTTGCTCAGGCTGGTTTTGAACTCCTGACCTTGAGCAATCCGCCCGCCGTGGGGCCCTAGTCACCAATTCTGGCAATAGGCCCCTCGCTCCATCTTATCACATGTAATTGACACATTACAATCAATTACCCTGTGTATTTTAACAATGGAACTGGCTTGATCGTGTGGAAAGCCACCAGATGTGTAATGACTGTAATTTCACACCTCTGAACCTCAGTTGACTTCTGGCGACTTATCTGATCATGCTGCAGAGGCACCGCTTTACCAAAAGGAGTATAAATCAGAAGATGTGCCTCAGGAAGTGTCAAGAAAGATGCAGCCGAGGCCACCCAACTGAGCAGCAAAACAGCAGGCATGTGAGAAACACTGTCAGGGAGGAGGAAAGATGTGAGAGCTGTTTATTCACACCGAGGAGGTTCGGAACCACAAGATGCCAACAGAAATGCACATCACTACCCTAACAATACAGACAACATACCGAAACCTGCCGATGGGCTTCACAGCTGCTTAGATGCAAACTGTTACGCAACACATCCTTCTGCTCTTCCACCATCATTCCACACCCCTCCAACTTTATTCTGGTCTTTTCCATAAAACTGTTTCCTAATATTCGTGCTACCAATGATATTTTCTTAACACATAATTTGTAGAGAAAGAAAACCTATTAGTTGGTACTTTTTTATATGAATAAAAGACAAGTTTTCCCCCACACCAGCACAAAATAGGGAGGAGAAAGCTCTAAGACTTCCTCATCCTTAACCCAAACCGTTCTCACACAACTGGCACAGGTCAGCTCGGCTCTCCTCGGCTCTCCTGGCGCCCCCACCGCCAGGCTCCGGTCACTTGGCCTTCTTGCCGCCCTTCTGGGACTCCAGAGCAGCCTTCCTGGCCTCCTCCTCTGGGATGAACACGCTGACAGTGAAGTCACTGGTCTCCGAGCCATACTTGTTCTTCACAACCAGCCCGTATTTGCCAGAGTCAGCAGTGGTCACGTCAGTGATGGTGAAGTAGGCCGTCTTCCCGGCCTCAAACTTGAGGTTGCAGTGGTCATCTGAGGCCAGGAGCTTCTCATTCTTCAACCACGAGACCTCAGGACTTGGGTCGCCCCACACGTTGCAAGTGAGATTAAGGGCCTGTTATGAGAGGGAAGGGTATAAATCAGATATACTGATACACCTTCAAGAATCTTGCTGGCTGGCAACTTGGCATGACCAGAGGATAAATAAAAACCTCCCGGACCTGGGTTTAAAGTATTTATGCGTGTGCACCTGTGTGAGTTACAGTTGGAAGTAACATGTGAGGAGGTCTCTTTAAGGCCGGGGCTTTCTGGCTTCTGGAATGCTTATTATTCAAAACACACCAAGGAGTTTGCTTCTCTTCCCTGCCTCCACTTTCTCGTTCATAAACACAGGTGCCTTTTGCTCTAATGTGGCATTTTGGGCTCTGTCTCAGTAGAGAGACCTCCCTGTTGCCATAATCACCACCTGCTCTCTTTTGCATTTTATTTTTGTCAAAGATCCCAGCAGCAGAATTGTAACAGCTGCTTCAGAGAATGTCATTAATTTTCAAATTCCACTTTCCTCCTTCTACTTCTCTCCTCAGACCCCCATTTAATCTGTTGCAGTTGCAGAGGTGCGCTACCAAAATGTATTACCAAAGAAAATATTCCCACTTGTGCCAAAACATCCTTATTCTAAAAGATTGACATTTAGATCTACAGTTTTACTTTACTTTTTTCATTGAAAAAAATTTAGATCATTGTAAATTCACATGCAGTTGTAAGAAATAATCCCCTGTATCCTTTAGCCAGTTCCCCAGTGGTATTAATAACATTTCATAGACATGTAATACAATATCACAATCAGCACATTGACATTGATCTTGTTTAGATTTCCCCAATCTTACTTGTACTGATTGCCTCTGTGTGCGTGTTTCATTCTATTCAATTTTATCAGTAGTGTAGGTTCATGTTTCTACCACCACAGTCAAAATACAGAATATTGCTATCACCACAAAGACCCCTGGGTTGTCCTTTTATAAACACACCCCCCTCCCCTTCCAACTTCTCAGCCCTGTTTCTAATACCTGGCAACCACAAATCCGTTTTCCATTTCTAAAATGCTGTTACCTCAAAAGTATTATATAAATAGGATCACATAGTATGTACCCCTTCAGAATTGCCTTTGTCGTCCAGCCTGATTCTGTACAAATTCATCCCAGTTGTTGCATGTATCAATAGTTTGTCCCTTTTCACTGCTGAATAGTATGTTATAGTGTAACTGGCTACATGGACAAAAATGCTTCTTTGTAGTTCTCTTATGTTTCAAGTTCTCAGGCCAGTAAGACTTGCCCAGAACTTTGTAACTTTCTATTTCATCAATCCATTCCCTTTTGAGTTGTTTTCTTCCCCCAGAAACAGCAGAGTCTCCTTGAAGCTGCAAGATAACCACAGGGCCTTACACAACCTGGTGTCCAGGGAAGACAAGAAAGGCAACTCCCCACCACAGACTGTGGCCAAGGACCTGCTGAGCAACCTACTCCCCACATCCCACCTGCACACACGATGGAAAAAACGACCAATATTAACACCTGGAACACCAATATTAACACCAAGCTCATTATACTACCAAAATCTCCACCCTGGAAGGGACTTATCCACCATCTTTTTATCATGTGGTATATGTACTAGCATGATTTCTCACTGCACTTGCGTGCCCTCTACTCCACCCCAAAGGTAATGATGCCCACTCATGTCATGCATTATTCTTTTCACCTCTAGCAAAAACCCTGTTAGGTCAAGGAAGAGTATTTGAGGCAGACCATTCCTCCCACCTCTCAGCTGATGGTTGATATGTCCTCTGTAATACATCTCCTTTCTTCCTGGACAATCCTTAATGTCTCGGTAATTGCTTTTCTATGGGGTGAGCAACAGAGTGAACCCCCCTTGTGGGTTCATTAACAATAGTAAGTATATGCCATAAGGGTTGTCTGGGCTTTTTCCAGTTTGGGGGCTATTACAAATACAGTTGCTATGAACAATTGTATACAAGTTTTTATGTGAACATAAGCTTTCATTTTTCTGGGATAAAAGTCCACAGATACAATTGCTGTATTGTATGGTAAATGCATGTTTTGTTTTTTTTTCTAAAAATTGCCAAACTGTTTTCCTGAGTGGCTGTACAATTTTGGTTTACATCCCCACCAGTAATATACAAGTGATTCAGTTTCTCTACATCCTCACCAGCATTTGTTGTCATGTACTGTTTTAAATTTATTGATTTATTTATTTTTAGAGACAGGGTCTTGCAATGGTGCCCAGGTTGAATGGGAACTCCTGGGCTCAAGCGATCCTCCCACCTCAGCCTCCCTAGTATCTGTGACTACAGGTTTTCACCATCATGCTAGCTACTACTTTTTATTATAGCAGTTCTGATAGATGTGTCATGATATTTCATTGTGATTTTAATTTTTATTTTCCTGATGGCTAATGATGTTGAATTTACTTCACATTTTAAATTCCATTCTTGCATTTTTTTCTTATTAAAATCCAGAAATTATAAGAACTAGGGCTTACCATAAAGAGAGAAAAGGCTATCCTTCTAAATATCCTTCTAAAGGACCTTATGTGATCACTTTTTACCTCTTTTGTAGGCGTATCATTTCAAATTGGAGAGATTAAGAAATCTGTTTACCTCCCATCACTAATGAACATATCTTAGTGAATTATTCTACAAATACATTTCAGCAAGAAAAATGTGAGTCAAATTATTGCCATTAAACTTATCTAAGCAGACCAGTTGCATGATTTTGGAAACTGTGATTACTTGAAGTTAAAACTTTTAACAAAATCAAACAAAAACTCCTAAACACCTTAGGCATCATGGAAAACTCTTACCCATACTTCAGATTTGAGTTATAGATTACAAAATGCTTTCACATACATTCTCTCAATTCTCACTACAATATAGTGAATTGTATATTTTTAACCCCATTAGGTGAGAAAAATAGAAAAGGGAGTTTAAGAACAAAAACAACTTTGCACAATGGTTGGGCTTAAAGTCAACTGTGATCATATTTTCCACCCATGAAGAAACACAGCTGAATGAAACCTACCTCTAGCTGAGGGATTTCGACATACCTTGCTTTGTTACCTGAGTTCCAACCACCCGCTGTGGGTCTTTACTGCCCTTTGAAGTGGAAAAAGTTTTGTTCCACTACAAATATCTCTACCCCTAGAACTTGTATATTAAACTTCTTTTAATGAAACATAAAGATGAAGAAAGTGAATCCAGGTTAGAAATTATGTTCATTGCCTCTCAGAAAGATTACCACGGAGCCAGGTTATACCAGTTTAAAACCAAATGGAAGGAAACCAGTTTCAACAGAAATATAGCCAATAGAAATTCCCACAGTAACATGTTTCCCTTTAACATGCTAAAGTGAGGCACGTAATAGCACAGTCCATTTCCCACTATGTGTTAGAGGTTGTTTCTTTCTCCAATTATATTTGTCATAGAGTTATGACTGAACATTTTCAGTTTCTCACAATTTTCAAGGGTGACTCAGGAAAGATACCAAGTGACCTATATATGTCCATAAGTGACAAACTTGCATCCTGATGCTTGGCCTTCAGAAGATTGAGATGATTGGAAAACCAGCAGCATTTGTAACCTTGCATTTGGCCATGTTGGTAATGGAGTAAGATGAAGATGGTGGGATGGTAAGTGTATCTTAAAAGAAGGCACGAAGGCTGAGGCGCTGGACTCCTAGCATACAGGGGCAGGCATAGGGATGCTCCATGCTTACCTTGCCCTCCTGGATGGTGACCACGTCAGGGAGACCGCCCAGCACCCGGGCACGATCTGCAAGCACAGGCACTTCTGGTTAATCAGTGCAGTGATGAGGACCAGAAATCACACCCACAAAAACACCCCAGGGAACTAATTGTCCAATCTAGTTCCCTTCTCCTGACAGTTATTTTATACTATTTTCAATGTCCAAAGAAGAAAACGGTCCAGGGATTTTGGATCTTAATCCTTCCTTACCCATATATTGTGTGCATTCAGGTGCCTGTATCTGTACCTGAAATACCAGCTAAAATATGATAGCTTAGTTGTATCAAGACCTGCTCTGTAATTTTCATAGCTATTTTCAGCTTTGTCCTTTCTACAGCTTAGTGAGGCTAAGCTCAAGGAAGCAGAACAGATCTCTATGGACAGTTTCCAAGTGTGACTTGGCCTCTTTTATGGGTTTCCATATGATGAAAAAAGGTTGCAAATGGGCTGTATGCTAGAGAGATTTGGAAGCTCATGCAGATGTGAGCTTTCTTTGAGACCTTCCCTAGAGAGCTTCCCTTTCTTGTCTCCTGGTAGTTCTTGATAGTGCTGTGCAGGCCATTCCTATGGCTGTGAGTATAAAGGCCCCTAGTCAAGGGGACAAGGCATGGGTAGGTGCTGAGAGGCACAGCTGGCGTCCTGAGCCAAGCCATGCACCTGGGTGTGACTGCCTCAGCCCCCGGGAAGAGTGCCTTTCTGTAATTTGCTCAAAGGCATCCTTTCTGGCATGAATACAGTGGCCAACCTTCTTTTCATTTTTAAGCCTACTTCAATTAATTTGTGACTCTTAATTCTCATTTCTACAATTTCCTTCTCCACTAAGTCAGACGGAAGCTTTGCTTTGAGTGGAACTCGACAGCATTCCATTGCTGTTCCATTACAGCACTTGTAAGTCTGACCAGTCATCTGGTTCCCTGCGTGACTTGCTGTGCAATACTGGGCCAGTCACTTTCCGTGTGGGCCTCCGTTTCCAAATCTGTAGACTGGGGGAGGGGTTACTTCAGCCCCCTGGACATTAAGTTTCCAAACTCTGCTCCACAAAGTCCAGTGGATTCCTCTGGGGGGATGAGAGGGGGTAAGGAAGGGGGCACTGAGTTAGGGAGCCAGGACCCCATCCCAACTTCAGCTTTTACCTATCTTAGGTATTGGGTCTGTGTGGAAGACTTTGCTTGAAATAAGTGTTCTGTGGCTTATAAAAGTTTAAAAAACATAAAGCTAGAAGATCTCCAAGGTCTTTTCCTGTTCTAAAGAGTTCACAAACTGGAGGATCAGGCTCCTTTCCCACACAAGAGTTCAAAATTTGGAAGAGGTGGGACACTGCTTGCAGATGTGGGCTTTGCTCGGTACAGACAAGAGATGCTCCTTCTTGCTCTGACACTCCCCCGTCGTGCTTCCATGCCCCCTGCACCAGCACCTGCCCCTTTACCCCCAGCAGCAGCCTCACAGATGCAAGGCCTGGGCCAGGAGAGGGAAAGAGGAGAGAGGAGCGTGGGGACACAGTGCAAGTTAAAGGTCCAAAGTCCATCCTGAAGGCCCTGGAGCCACTGGCAGGTGGAAGGATGACTTCATTGCTCACTCCTTCTCCTTCAAACCCAGCTCCAATCGACTCTACCATTTTAACCCATAACAACTTTTAAATTTTGGCTCCCACACTGAGAGAGAAATTGAATTAGTATTATAGATTAGTCTGTGACTTCTGCAATCCTGTAAGACTGTGTTCTAAAAATCTCTGTGTGTGAAGCAAACAGCTGACAGACGTGCAGCAGTGAGTTCGTTTCTGGGCACGCAGAACTGATAGTTTGGTGTTTGCTCCCTTGGACTGTGTCTCATTAAATGAGAGGAAGGAAGGCCTTATTCAGCATCTTTTCTCTTACAGGGGCTGGTAGGAAAATGCACAGCACTTGTTGGTGATTTACCTAATGTCAAATTTACAATGTTTCTTGATGTTTCCCTTCCTTAATGGCTATATATTTTTCTGGTACATTGTGCCTACAAGTGGCTAACAACCTTTTGTGTGATTTGCAGTGAAGTGATTTCTCAGGATATCTGGGTGATATCTCAAGACAAGGGCCAGGTGATATTCTTATAATGTAACCTGAGACCCTTTTTCCATAGACATTCTTTCGCAAAAGACTAAAATGAAAACAAATGTAGAACACCTAATATTTAAAAAAGAAAGAAGAGAAAAAACCACTCCACTGTCTTTCATCTGTAGTCATAATGGCAAAATAAAACTGTATTTTGAATCAAATATTTTGAATCACATTTATACCAGGAATAAATGTGAAAGTGGTGTACTTACTTTTCTCGGCAATGGCAGCTTGTCTGGGGTTGAGAGAAACGAACAAACATACAAACAAAGAAGAATTGTGTTTTAGTGTTACTTCAAAGTAGCCAATCTTGACTATATCTCATTGCCTCTGAAACAACTTGCTGCTCAATGTAACAGTGGGAAGTGCTGTTTTTACTGCATTGGCTGACATAAAAGACTCTTTCTAACGCTCGGATGGGCAAGCAGTACACAAGTTTCCAGAGAAATTAGTGCATGGGAGTGGCATTTACTGGGACAAGGGACTTACTTCAACCTCTGGAATTCAGCAAAGGCCTCGTCGTATGCTTTAAGAGAAAAAAGAAAAGTTAGAATGTTCTCACCTAGAATGGACAACATAGGAGCTGACTAAAATTCATAACTCGAGGTCATGATCAGTCTAGACGTGACTAAATCGACTTTGAATAACACTCTGCCTAACTCCACAGCTCAATGTACTTAACAAGACAAGCAAACACTTCTAGGCACAAAATATGAAATAATAGATTTTAGAAGCTTTTAACTCAGTGAGAGACCTTTAACCCCTTGAATGGAAAGGCAAAGGTTCACTCCACCAAAGAAAAAAATGGGAACAAAAGCCTGTTTCTTTCTTTCTTTTGTTCTTTTTTTGAGACAGAATACCACTCTGTTGCCTGGGCTAGAGTGTTGTGGCATCAGCCTAGCTCACAGCAACCTCTAACTCCTGGACTCAAGCGATCCTTTCTGCCTCAGCCTCCCTAGTAGCTGGAACTACAGACATGTGGTGCCATACCCGGCTACTTTTTCTATTTTTAGTATAGACAGGATCTGGCTCTTGCTCAGGCTCAAACCTCTGAGCTCAAGTGATTCTCCCGCCTCGGCCTCCCAGAGTGCTGGAATTACAGGTGTGAGCCACCACACCCGGCCCAAAGCCTGTTACAAACAAAAATTGATTGTCTAATAAGCATCCTGAGCATCAGAAAAGCTTTGTCTTAAGTTATTGCAGACATCATAGCATCCTAGCTAGAGAGTTAAACACCTTTATGTTATGTTGTCTGGTCTATTTGGGCAAAAGAGCACAACGAGTTTCTGTAATCACAGGGTGCTTGCCGGAAGCAGTGTTTCTTATGCCGTGATGGATGTGAGACGAAAGACAAGTGAGACAAGGAAATTAGACTATATAATTCTAAAATAATTTTTTCTCTATGCCTGCAGAATGAGCCACTTTGACTGAAGACTTTAGGGTAAATGGCAGCTTCATTTTGAAACCCCTCTTACCTTACCTGTAAGATCCTCTATGGTTTAGGAATCATAATATTTTAAGTCTCTAGAGAATACTTGTGTAATACTTTTCCATACCCTTATTTTACAGATGGAAAAATAGGTATAAAGCTGGGCTTAAAGTCACTGGTCCTTGTCTTTTCTCATCTATAAAATGAGAGGGGTACTGACCAGGTCAACCTGAGCTGAGCTTTGAGCTGCTCTTTGTGCTCCCCCACACTGAGAGGAGATGGGCACGGCTGAGCCAATCTGTGTTTGGGGACAGTGACAATGCTGGCAAGATAATCCACAGCCTTTTGCTTAAGGGGGATTTCAGAGTCGGGTATTTCAATAAGCTTTGGTGGGCCAGAGAGTACAAATAAAGTTTTAGAAAACTTTTAAATTTATTCACCCATGTATTGCTCCCCTATTCCTACTGGGTTTCAAGTGGTCAGATGGCTGCAGAAGGAATCCCCTATTGCTGTGCACTTGTGACGTAAGCAGAGTGTGGCCTAGACAGCCCGTGTCACTCAGGAGCAGCCATTCGGACACTGCAGATCCCACAGGGGCCCTTCCAGTTACAAAGGGTGGGGGGTGGGGATAAGGTGACTCAGCACCAAAAAACTCCAGGTAGAGATGAAAGGCTGCTCTCTAAATGATGACACTACTCTCTGAGGATAAAAAAAACCTGAGTTATTGCATATTTAGATTGTATTTTAATATACAAAGAAGTGGAGGGGGGAGAGTCAGTCTACAGCTTCCTTTAGTTACTTTAATACAATGTAGACTGCTTCATTTGTATAGGAAAGAATAAGACGAAGAGGCTAGCACTGGGACACGGAGGAATGGCACATTGCTTTTAACTTTTTACTTATAATCGTGCATGTTTTAACTTAAAAATTTCTAATTAATAGCTGCACCTCTCCTTTTGTCTTTGCTCTTAGATGGAAACCTTTTGTCTCCATCTCTCATTACTCTCTTCTCTTCTCTCCAGAACCCCTCATTCTCTCAGCAGATAGCCAAGAAATCTGAGGCCATAAGGACCCAGCCTCTCCAACTTCCTTCTGTTCACCTCAATATTTGTCTCTGCTTATTCACGCCCCTCTGGCTTCTGAAGAGTAGGTATTCTTGCTCCTTCCCAAAGTTACCTCTGTCCTGGGACTCAAACCTTCCATTCTTCAGGACTTTATCAATGATTCCCCTTCACTCAAATCTCAGTCCTTCTAACACATCTGGTTTCTTGGACTCTATGAACCTGCTCAAATATTAATCGCCATAAAACAGTCCTTTTTCAGTGCTCATTCTTGTTTAAGTGACTGTGTCAGCCTGCCCCTCTTTGCAAGTGTCTCTCTGGAAGAGCAGTGCTTCCTTTCCTTGTGCACTGTCTCCACCTTACTTTTCACTGACTTTCCAACCACTACATTAATTCTTGCTTCAACCACCAAGGCTGAATGAAAACTGTTTTATCACAATCACTGTTAAATATAATGTTCATGGGAGGCCATTGATTTACACTGAGTTCCTGCACTAGGCCTCAGCAGAGCAGATCAAACCCGAGTGGAGTCTGGCCTTGTGCTAGGTGCCACATAATCAAAATGACCTTTAAAATAGGCCAGTTTTAAAAAAAACAGGAGATTCACGGCAACCAATCAGAAGGGGCCCAGGCAACCTCAGCCAGCATGATAAAGAAGTCCCCCTCTGCTTTAATCCCACAAGGAAATTAACCTGAAGTACCTTGATGCCAACCAATCTACTTTTTACACTAGGCTATTTCCTTAATCCTGCTCAAGCTACCTTACAAAAACCAATCATTCTGCCATGCCCAACAGAGTGCCTTTCTATTTCGTAGATGGGATACTGACCAATTCATGACTTGCTAATAAAAGCCAATTAGGTATTTAAACTTAATTTGTTGAAATTTTGTTCTTTTTAAAAATAAGTTTTATTTATATACTTTTCTTTTTTTAGAGATGGGAGTCTTGCTATGTTGCCCAGGCTGGCCTCTAACTCCTGAGCTCAAGTGATCCTCCTGCTTTAGCCTCCTGGGTAGCTGAGACCACAGGTGTCTGCCATCACACCTGGTGAAATTTTGTTCTTTGACATCACCAACATAATGACCTCTTTTCACCCTTCATTATTTTTAGAAGATCCACTTCTCTATAGTAAGTTTGAGCCTGCAGAATTTCTGTTTACCTTGTCCAGAAAGATCCACTGTCTTCTGGTGTCCAGTTTGGCCATCAAAGAGCTCCATCACATATTTCCCTTTGTCATTCGGAGTGGGCTCATTGATTTGTAGCCAGATCTGCTCTCCAGTGACCCCACTCTTAACTCTGTCTGAGTACTTTATAGCAGTCCCACTGTTAAAATCAAAGAAAACATCCTCAGTGTTTGCTTTCATCCAGAGCTGATCTTTACTTTGTCTATTACTGAAGGTCTTATCATAAAGTTTTACAGGCTTTCAAAAAACATGGAATCTGCATATGTTATTCTTCTGTTTCAGAGAAATTATGGGCCCTGATGTACAGAACTGGGATTCCAAGGCCCTGGTCTGGTAGTCTGAACATTTATTTTACTCCCCATAGCAGTCGGGAGCCCAGGACAGATTGCAACACCAACACTTCTCAGTGGTATTAATTATCTTTGTGTTTGCTTGGGTTTATTTGTAGGGTTAAGGGAATTTTACTGCATACTTCATATAGATAATCTGTGGCTATAAATCAAATTTTACAAACTAGTCAAAAACACACTTATGGAGGCTTATCTGTGGCTGACATCTATTGACATATGTTGTTACAAAGTTTTTTAAAACATAGGTAAAAATGCACTTGGTAGTAGAGCTAAGAGTGAATGAAAAGCACAATTGCTGCCAAAGTGAACGAGGTAGGTTCTCTGTCCCTGGGTGTGAGTTTTCTAGGATTCTATAGTAGGTCATGAGCAGACTCATGCATTATATTCTTTATAGGAGAATAAAAGGAAATATAGCCCTTTGTTTTGTGATCTGCTGGTCTAGGAATGCTACTGTTATTGATGAAATAAGAGAAAAGGCATCAGATGTACTCTCAATGATGTCACAAGAAACTTTAGGAAGAGTCTGTAAAAATGTGAGGAAATTAAAAAAAAAGCAGTATACAAAACGATTACAGCCACAATGATGCATAGAAAAAAAGACTGGAAGTGTTCCAAATTGTTCATTTTATGGCTAGTAAAACTATGGATGATATCATATTATGAATTTTTCTAACTTGTAATACAATATCATAAATTTGTTTTCTAAAATAAGCATGTTTATGTTTATAGTTGTAACAAACAAAATGAACTATGAAAAACATAGAACAAATTTTCCACCAAAAAAGTTTTAGCTTTCAAAGACATATTTAGCATTTTTCTTATACCACCATATTCTTTAAAGAATGTTTATCATCTAAAAAGATATTAAAAACTAAAATACCATAAAATATAAGGTAAAGAAACCCTGCACCCTACAAATTTAGCCTGAGCTACTATAAATATGTCTTAGAGAATTAGACAGAAAGATTGTTCTCTGCTTTGTCATAATAAATGCTTGAATTCTTTAATATCTGGCTAACATGCATAATAGTACCTACATTTAAAAGTGCTTCAGAAAGTATAGGTATTATTGCTCCTATTTTATATAAGATAAAACTGAGATTCAGAAAATTAAATGACTTGCCCAATATCACAAGGGAAGATAGCAGCAAAGTCAGGATTAAAACCCATTTTAAGGTTTTTTTTTCCCAAAAGACAATCCTAGATTCCTGAATCTTATAGGAACATGAATACACAAAAAACTCATGTAGCTGAGTAGACCAAATAATGTAAGAAGCTTATGCCTTGCAAGTCTAATAGCAATTTCTTCAAAACACATTTTCAATATTCTAATTTTTTAAACAGGTAATTTCTTGTAGAGAAGATATAAAGCTTTTTGATTGATGATTCAATGAATTTTACTTCTCTCATTCTTCAGTCTGATATATGAGAATGTCCTAGATGTCACAGAGAAATTCCTAGAATTTGATCTATTTTAACTTATAATTACTTTCCTAAAACGTATTCTGAAGAAAATAGAACAAAGGAATGAAACCCCAAGCATTCTACACTGAAATTTTACTACTTCTCATTTTTAGAACTAAGAAAATAATAATAATAAAAACATTGTTCTACCTAACAATAAAGTAATTTTTTTTTTTTGAGACAGAATCTCACTCTGTTGCCTAGGCATCAACCTAGCTCACAGCAACCTCAAACTTCTGAGCTCAAAGGATCTGCCCACCTCGGCCTCCCAGAGTGCTAGGATTACAGGCGTGAGCCACCACACCGGGCCAAAGTCATTTTATTTTATTTTATTTTATTTTATTTTATTTTATTTTATTTTATTTTATTTTTTTAGGATGTCCGCTACATCCTAAAACTGAACTGAGAATGGCTGTGCCCCATCAGATTATCTAGGCCAGGCCTCTGCTCTCTTTCAGCTCAGAATCTTTCAAGGAAGCACAGAGGTTAAGGATACCAGAAGAGTATATATGGGAGGGTTCCATTTAGAAACTTATTTCAGCTCTTGGAATCCCAGAAGTAAACTTGAATATAATCCCTGTATAACTCCACAAAGGTAGCATGGGATTAGAACAGATCTTCAGGTTTAATCAAGTTCAAATAACATATTCTCCAAAGTCATTTTGAGATCTCTAAAGCCTTCTGAGGGTAGACAAGAAGCATGCTAATGCCTAACTATGCCAACTGCTATAAACACCACCAGCAACAATAATCTCAGGTACTCCTCTGGATTAGGCTTCTTTGGTGAACGGCCATTAATTTACATAGTGGGAAATTTGGTGCACACTGCGTCATTTTTATTCCAGACCATAGGATGTGTTAACTGTGTATGGAAAGAAAAGGCTAGGAATGTGGTTCTGGACACCTGGCAGAGCAGAGATAGTCCAAGCATGACTGTCTGGAGGTAGGAGTTTATATTATAGAGATATCTGTTAATTATGATACTTCTTAGATTACAGAGAAAGAGATACTGCAGCCATTACTGGCCTCACCATGTACAAACTGAGGGAGAGAGCTAACCTCACAGCAAGGGAATGCCCTGGTCTGTCTGTGCTATGCTCATCAACATTAGACTTGAGAATTTAGAAGACTCCCTATTTGAGAGGAACAGAAGTTTTTTTTTTTTTTTCTCATTCTCCACTTCCCCAGCAGAGAAAGAGTTTTACACAGAAAGTAAGTTCCTATTTACTTACTTGTGGGACCAATTAACTTTCAAATCATCCAGGTAGTAAGTAACAAAAGAGTACAGCCGGATGCCCTCAGCTGTGCTCTGAATTTTCAGGTCTGTAGCAGACAAAGCTAAAAGAAGAAAACAGCACATTTCATGCATCTGTAAAGGCCATCCTGGCAGGAGAATAATAATGATAATATTGTGGCATGAAAACTCTAACTTACCTATTTTTTTGCATACTTCTGTTATCAGTTCTTTAAAGGCTGTGGGTAGAGATTCATAGCCAAAACTTTAGCATACAAATGCTCAATATAAAGTCAAATCTCAAATTGTTAGTTCTCAAAACTTCACTGTCTAGTGAAGGGAATTGGACAAGTGCTCTTTGAGGAAATAACTCAATTTTTATCAGGTTTTTAAAGATCTCTGCTTATTTTGATATTTCCCCCTCTAATTCTTTATAACTGTTACCATATTTACATTCTAAAGAAAGGGCCACAGTAAGATTTCCAGGAAGGTTCTTGGCTTTAGGATTCTGTTTCTTAAGTCCCAGGAAGCCTTGGTTTACATTAGAGGATGTTTTCTTATCTGTATCATCAATTCATAATGAATTAACCATTTAGGTACCCTGGTCTTCCACAGCCTAACAGTGCTTTTTGCCAATAAACACATTTAGCCCTGCTCTACCAAGAGCAGGAAGGTGAAATCAATCAGACTTCTGCAGTTTGTTAGCAATATTGTCAAAAGATCTTGCTAAGGAAGAAAGTTGGAAGTCTGGGGGGGGGTCACATGTAGGTTTTCATCATCATGATATATTTGTTCTTAGTAGTTTCTGAAAAATGGAAATTGCTTTCTTGCTTTGCTAATAACAGTGAGGCTTCAAATTTCCTATATAAATCTTTCTTGCTACCTTTAAGAGTGGACTATTTTTCATCATGTCTCTCACAGAAGTTTTTGATCCTGGAACATGTTTATAGAGTTGAAACAAAAATGATGATTTAAATTGAAAACAGACCCCTGGTGGACTGTGGACTATAAATTCTCTGAAGATCAAAAGTATATTTCTGATTTCTAGGAAGACTATTTTGAGGACAGTAGTTCACTATGCTGGAATTTTAATTAAACTAGAATCTGTGGACAAAAAAATCACCATGACTTCAATTATCAGCCCAACCTCAGTCATAATTCTGGCAAACTGCATATAGAACACACAAAACAGCCCCCAGCAGTTGGTGGACTAACCTTCATCCACAAGCTTTAGTCTGCTCTTATCTTTTCCTCGGTCATCTTTCAGGATAACTTCATAAATCCCAGCATCTTTCTTGGAAAACTAAGGGGGAATGGATATGCCACATTGCAGTTTATCATAGCCACAGGGTATGGTGTTTGCATTTTTAAGGCTCTTGATTTATGGAATTGCCATCAAAACACACATTGAACAAGCATCCAGCCATGCGAGTGATGAGCAGTTCAGAGACGCTATCCATAATAATTTGACCAGCTAGCAGTTCTGACTTTTACCTTCAAAAGCTTTTACCTTCAAAAGCTATAACTGATTTGAGGCTTAAAGTCCTTACCTTTTACTCTGCCATCATTTGTTAAAAACTAATGATCCCATATGTCTGAAAGCTGTGCTCTTTTCAAGAAAAAGTAGATAAAAATCTATACTTAAATGAATACTGTGTCTGACTGTCTCTGTACTTTTAGGGAACAATTTATCATGAGGCTTAAGTACAAACAAAGAAGAATCCACATAACTGCCCATATATGAAAAAAAGTAGCTCAGAACCATTCAGCTGATACTGGTTGGATATCTGACAAATCCATGCATATCCCAAGGAGAGAGAAGCTTTTGTGTTCTTATAGCAGTTGGAATTAAGGCATTATAAATTCCCTGGGCATGAGAGGAATATAGACTCTAATCTATATTTTGGGGAAGAATGTAGGGTACAGAGCTAATATATTACATTTCACATTTATAATTACCTACCTCTGTTATAAGTAGGGTACATATACCATCCTTAAAGTCATGCTTCTCATCCACTGATATCTCCCTCTCATCTTTGTACCACACAATATGAGTCTCCTTCTTAATATTTGCCACCTACAAGAAAAACCATAATTACTTTTCTTGAAATAAGGAAATTTTGCTCTTATGAAACTAAATAGTTCTAAATGCAGCCAGGTATAGAAGAAAAAGCACAGATCGTGGAGTCAGAAGACACAGATTTCTAAAGAAATCAATTGAAAGCTATTTTTATGGAGAAATGAGTTTAGAATAGAGTGGATACTAATGAATAAACCTAAATCAATAGCATCTCTACTTCCAGCAGTAAAAGCTGACTTTAAAATCATTTGGTAGAAAAGAGAGAATACATACATGCTAACATACACATTTAAAATATAAATCTCAAAGGCAAAGGAAGACAAATCCCATTAGATTAAAATATAGGCTGTCACAAAAACAAATGGCTTTATTAAAGGAACAGAATGGGTAGTCCCAATCTATATCTAAACACTAAAAAAAAGATAAATGAAGCATTGCAAATATATATGGAGGGGAGGAATGGTTCAATAAATGAATTGCTTAACAATTTTGAGGGGACTCATTTAGATCCTCATCTATACATCATATCATAAATTTCAAATGGACTGAACAACTTCATATGATTAAAGGGATTTTGAGCTTTATCTATAATGTTTGAATTTTTTACAAAGGAGAATATGTCCTAGCACTCTGGGAGGCCAAGGCAGGAGGATCGCTTGAACTCAGGAGTTCAAGACCAGCGTAAGCAAGAGTGAGACCCTGTCTCTATAAAAAAAAAAAAAAGGAAAATATGTTTATATATTTCTTGCATAATTCAAATTATATGAAACAGTAAAGACTTCATACATATCAAGAAAATAATCTCAGAGACTCCCCTGAATAACTGGTGAAATATACAATTCTCCAAAGAGGAAATACAACTCTAAAACCAACAGATGAAGAAAATAAGTCTTATTGTAAACAAGAACATTTAAGTTTTAAAATGTGAAAAAATTTCAGCTAATAAATGAACATAGGAACCAGTACTGGTAGCTTTAGTGAAACCAGTACATACAATCATTCTTTATGAACGTTCAAACTGGTTCCCCTGAATTACTAGAAACTGCGTTACTAGGTGACATTGATATATAACACAAATGACCCTATTGGAAAGCTGCATCTGGACTGGGAGAAATTAGAAATGGACTCCATAGTTTTGGCCTTTGCTTAGTACACCATCTCTTGTAATTTGGACACACACCTTGTGGGGAACCTGGAAGCTCTGCTTAGGAAGTTGTTACAGGAAGTACTGGATCCTTGGCATGAGGGTTTTTTCAAAGCCATGATGCCTGCCTCCCACACCTGCCAGACATGGATCTTGTCTCCTTGCACCTGAGCTTCCTTTCATCTGAGGTGGCAAAGGGAGCAGCTCTTCATGTGGACTCCTGCAGGAGAGGAATTCCCAGCACTGCCTCTCAGGAAAGCTGGGCGTCCCCCTACATTCTCGAGTAGACTAGTGCCAAGTGGAGTCCACGACAGTCTAGTGAGTCTGAACGTTTAGCTGCACATACTCCATGAGCTATAACGAACTGCTAAAATTACATGAACTGCTACAATAATGGAACAAAGAGCTATGGGAGGATAGAAGAAGGTTTGTTCTACCTGGGCTGAGAAGTCACCTTACAGAGGTGACTGTGTGGGGCCTGAGGAAGAATTGTCAGAGAAGCTGAAAGAAGAAGGCTATTTGGGCATTGCCATAGTGTAAACATGTAATTTGTGAAAATCCATGACTTTTTCTGGGCTCCCCTTGGGTGCTCAGAATCTGGGCGAGGGACTGATTCTCCTGAGGAAAGCCATCGGTGTAGGACACCAGAGCTCACCTCCCAGGGAGACAGCTAGCACAGAGAAGGAGGGACACGTGGGCTTCTGGGACAGGGACAGATTATGAGGAGGGGCCACCTGGAGGAGAAAGTAAGATAGCCAGGATGACAGAGAGGGGGAGGGTTTTAGCTGCTGCCTGTGGAAGAGTTTTTAAAGCAGCTTTGCCATTTCCTGAGAAACTAAAACCTAGAATTGCTTTTTCTTGTATATATTTCTGGTAGACTCCTGTCTCTTTAAATTTATTAGACCCGGTGGAGACTTGGGCACTTGGGTTCTGGCTTTTATAATGACAATTGCCAAAGCCTTGCCAAACACCACACCCATGCTTCTGCCTTGGAGTGACCTTTGGCCAGCACCACCTTCAAGCTCCAACCTCATCTGACGGTTCTTCACCCAGAACATTTTTTTTTTTTCAAAGAGCTACTTTTATTATTTTCTCTTTTTTTTTTGTTTTTGAGGCAGAGTCTCAGTCTGTTGCCCTGGCTAGAGTGCCATGGCATCAGCCTACTTCACAGCAACCTCAAACTCCTGGGCTCAAGCAATCCTACTGCCTCAGCCTCCTAAGTAGCTGGGACTACAGGCATGCACCACCATGCCCGGCTAATTTTTTCTATATATATTAGTTGGCTAATTAATTTCTTTCTATTTATGGTAGAGACAGGATCTCGCTCTTGCTCAGGCTGGTTTCGAACTCCTGACCTTGAGCAATCCGCCCGCCTTGGTGTCCCAGAGTGCTAGGATTACAGGCAAAACATTTCTGATGCGTTGCTCAGCTAAACACCACATGCTAAGGTCCAAAATAGTTTAGAATGTGATACAGAATTTTTTTTTTTTTTCTAAATCTTTCCAAAGGCCTAATAAAGACAATTGGTTGTGAGTTGCCAACTCTTTATCAAACCTCTGCCCTCAAGGCAGCACCATGGCTGGGAACTAGTAGCACAGCTGAGAAACACAGAAGTACTCTGCCAGTCTCACAATTTAGATAAGAAGGTCCAGGAAAAACACAGTGAATGTATTGATTCTGGAATAGGCCTACACTTAGAATGCAGACTTGGCTTAAAACAAAAACACTGTGAGAGTCTTCTGAGATTACTAATTAAGTAAGAGTCTGTGTCTTTATTAACTAGGTCATGCATAGTGAATAGGAATGATCATCTCGCTTTCTCAACTTTTTATGTTGTTTAATTTTAAATGTTTCTTACCAACAAATGCTTATAGTAACATTCAATAGTAAGGATGTGTTCCGTATCATTTTGGCTCAAACGGAGGGGTTGAAAAATTGATCTTCCTCTTCTCCACATTCTATTTTATCTTTATTTTGCTTGAATCAAATATTAAAAATTTATCCAGCTCTTACCTTGCATTTCAATAGTACATTACAGTCACCAGTCACTTCCCAGCTCAAATACTCAGCAAAATGCGGACCTATAAAATTTTAATGACATCAGCAATTGCTCTATTAATCATGAATGCAAAAATCAAAGCCCATTCCTATATCCTAAGGTGACTTATGTTTGAAGTCATATTTTAAAAATTCTAGATTTGGTTTTTAAATTTTTTAACATCTACAGATTTAAAAATAAATATTTTCAATTATTTTTATTTACCCGGCATTATTAACATAATTGATATTATTCATTTTAATTTGTTATGGAAGTAATCTTGGAATATCGTGTACAAAAAAACTGAAGTTTTTCTCTTTACCCACTGCCTATTTTTACCTTGTTTTCTGATCCATTCTTGCCGCTGGAATTCAGCTTCTTTCTGGAGTTTTTTGTAAACTAGAAATTGAAAAATAAGGCAGTATGAAATTGAGTTGAGCAGTATAAATGCACATGCTAGCCACTGAGCTAAGTGATTTATATTCATTATTATAACACTCATACATTGTGATCACCCTACTCATTCTCAATCTTTATAGGTGAAGAAATAGGCTTAGAAAGGTTAAGTACTTTGGTATAGAGGTTATAAAACTAGGAAACAGTGAAAAGGTTTGGATGTTGCAAATATAAAGATCTGCCCAGCCTTTCCATTGCTTTGTTAAATGCTACATTTTAAATCTTGGTAGTTTTTATGGTAGCTGATTTACTACAATCTAGTTATAATATATGATTAATAGATTTGGCATGTACTACTTTTGCCTATTTTTCTTCTCAGTTTACGTAATTTAAATTAAGTGTACATTGTAAAACAGTATCATGGTTTGTTTCTGAGACACATACAGTCTTGGTTGTACTGCAACTTCTCCCTCACTGGAGAATTTTAGTGATAAATATTTGTTTATATATGAGTCTATTTAAGTACAGTCTTGCCTGTGGGCTAGGGATAAATGTGATATTCTTTTAAATTAACTTTCATGTCTATAAAAAGAAATACTATGTAAAGTGTTAACTAAAATTTGTATTTTGAACAGTGGAATTCATTTAAGAAACAATTCCTACTGTCTTTCACACGACTGCTTTTGTGCTGTAGGGTGTTTGGACTGAAGGGAGTATCAAACTCCTCCAGTTAATGTTCCACAGGATTCTTACCATCTCCAATGAGAACAAGAGTAGAATGATTGGTTGCTTTGCCATCATGAAGCTCAAAAGTGTATGTTCCCTCATCATCATCCTGTAGCTTTTCCATGAACATTTCAATTATGCCAGTGTTTCGGTCAATATGCATTTTATATTTCTTCAGAGTGGAAAGAAAAAGACAGAGAAATCAGTGAGGTAGATATTTTACTTTGATGACAATAAGCCTGATGAAACAAAAATAAACCCCATAATTTTAATAAAATTTCTTGACAACTGAGCAAGTTCTGTAAAATCTTATATCCAGGAAAGGGGAAATATGTGGGATATATGACCTAGACCTGAATTGATTACTAAAAAGTCTGAAATTTAATTTCTTAAATCTAAATAAAGTTTTGTTGCCCCAAGTCACAAAACGTCGGCAAAAAGCTGATTTTAGATTTTCATTTTACCTTCCAGATTCCTTTTTTTGGAGACAGGGTCTTGCTCTGTTGCCCAGGCTGGAGTGCAGTGGCCGGATTCTAGGTCACTACAACCTCAAACTCCTGAGCTCAGGCAATCCTCCTGCCTCAGCCTCTCGAGTAGCTGGAACTACAGGCATGTGTCATCACCCAGCTAATTTTTAAGTTTTTTGTAGAGATGGGGTCTTGCTATGTGGCCCAGGCTGGCCTCAAACTCCTGGACTCAAGTGACCCTCCCACCTTAGCCTCCCAAAGTGCTAGGATTACAGGTAAGAGCCACTATGCCTGTCCTGTCCTTTCTGAGTCTTTAAAGTTTTTTTACAATAAGTATGTATCACATTTTTAGCCAGAAAAGCAATGAAAGATATTTGCATTTTTCTGAGTCACCGGAACAGAGGACTTTTCCCCACACAAAGTATCAGGTCTCCCCCGGGGCTCCTGATGTGAGTCTGATGTAGACTCAGGTAGGCTATCTGCTCCCTTGCCTGTCCAGGAAGTCCACTCTGTTTTCATGAGCAACCATACTTCTTGGTTTGCCTGAGACAGTCTTGGTTTATGACTGTTGTCCTGGAAAAGTTATTAACAGCACCCCCTTTCATTCTCAAAAGTGTCCCAGTGTGGATAATATATGGCAGAGTCAATCCGTATGTTCGTTTCACATTTTTTACTTGTGAGAGTGATTTAAACTACCCTCCCCACTACCCAGTGGTTTTCATAACAACTTATCTACATCCTAATAAGGCTTCCTCAGTGTATTTTACAATGATACTTTAAAAAAATCTAAAAAGTGTAAAACCTACCGGCCCTTCAAAAATTTCCCTTTCGTTAAATATGTAGTTGACTTTGGCGTTGCCAGACAGCTTCTCAGCCTGCATCCAAAACCGGACCTGCCCTTTCTCCAGAATTTCAACTGCCAACTCTGATTTAACTGGGACAACTATAAAAATAAAAAAAAACATAGTAATTATATTGGTAACCAATTACATTGATATGGATTTTTCTAACAAGTAAAAAAATAGGCAATGGAAATGGCAAATACACCTTGCAAAGCCCAGAGGCGGGAGAGTGCTGTAGGGAAAGCCTCCGATTAAGGACAGAAGACCTGGACTCTGATCCCCAGACTATCACTTTGGGCAAGTTGTTCATCTTCTCAGAATCGCAGTCATCTCAACTGTCAAAATGAGGAGGATGAACTTACCTCTAGGGGCACCTCCAGTCAACATCTGTGACTGTCTACTGGGGCTTTGGTTAGGTTTCTTTAGGAGCAACAACAAGTTGGGATGAAAAGAGACTTGGGCTGGCGAGAGGAGAGCTGGAATCTAGTCCAAGGTCTGATACTAACAAACTGTGTGATATTAGGCAGGGCACTTCATATCACTGCACCTCACTTGACTTGTCTGTAAATGAGTAGAATTAAACTAAATGCCCTAATTAGCCAAGATATTTTCCAGCTCCAACATTCAAGGGTTCCAGATCTTAATTACTTCAAAATATTTAGAAAGGAGTTAAATTTGACTTTTTCAAACAATTTAATTCACTTTGGAGATTCTTTTAAATGTTTTTTAAAATGAATTTTTTTAAAAAAATTAATGTTGCCTATACATATAAGATGAGCTAGCTGGTCATTTAAACCATATGTATTCTAGTGACATATCAGTTCATTTTAGTTCTAAGACAAAGCAAAAATTTTCCAAGGCAAATACATGAGTCACTATTGAGAACCTATATTAAAATACAGCATGGCTTTCTTCTCATGGAAAGTGAAGGAATCATATGGTATCACTGACTTCATTATATTGTTTAAGCCATTTAAGCCTCAGTGAAATGTTAAAAGTTGGCTGGCATTCTCTCAAAACCAGCTTTTCAGTTTCTTATAACTTGAAAATGCTCTCTAGAAAGGCTTTCCTAACCATAGTTTTGCATCAGATATGGCTCCAGGGTGTACTTTGTAGAAAAGCATGGCTGTTTCTCACAGTTAAGTAGTCCTTAGCTTCCTTGAGGGGAAACCATTACCCTTTACTTTCTCTAAACTGTTCTTACATTTACTCAAAATTTTAGCATGTGCTATGTTTTATATTACAGCCTTCTCAAACTTGTGTCAAATGTACATTCTTATTTCTTTCTGTTTATCCTAAAACTACCCTTTTCAAGCTTCAACGGATGCTTTCCTTTGTATTATACCATATTTGCTATAAAGTTCATTCATAGATTCTCTCTAATTCAGGCCTGAGGGGAGGCTAGACTCCTCTCAGGAGTCTGCTGAGGGTACCATGGTGGAAGAAGATGGGCTTTAGAGTCACACCATGACCTTGACCAGTTGCTCTCCTCCTTAAGCTGTGTGTTCTCACCTGCTAACATGGATGTGCTATTAAGAAGATTAAATCTAGTAACAGAACACATTAAGTCACTGTGGATAATGACCACTGCTCAAGAAGGTTAGTCCTTTTCCTTGCCTCATTTTATTGACGAGAAAATTGAACCCCAGTAAAGAGCTGTAACATATCTGGGTAGTTGAGCTGAGACCAGGGTTATCCCCTTTACTCTTCATTGCTCTTGCCCTGGTGTCCACTCTGAACACTGGTGGGTTGCCGGTGTGACTGCGATGTCTGAGTGAAGCAGACAGTGGACAGAGGGCAGAGGCTGAGCTTTCTCCCTACAGGATGCTCATGGTTGCTACAAGTCAGTCTTCGTAGACATTTCTTTTAGAAATGTCTGGAAACCCCATTCTGGGGAAACTTATATATGAATGAGGCAGTTACCCAAAAGGCCTGGAGTGGTGATGGAGGGGGAGGGGCAGGCCCTCCTGGAAGCCTCCAGCTCCCATAATGTTCACTGTCCTCCCTGAGTCATAAGGACATTGTCTGGGGAACACTGGTCACGTGAATTGCCACGGAGGGCACAGAGCAAACAAAGCAGGCACATGAAGAAAGATAGCCTGGGTTGAAGGGAACAGGCTCCTAAGTCACACCTAGGTTTAACCAGCTGGGTAAGTCATAACAGTACTGACCCTTTAAGGTCATTGTGGAGTTTAAATGATATATTCTGTTTAAATATCCTATAAAAAGCCTGGCTTATTATAATTGCTTTATTGATGTTGGCTATTAAAATTTTGGTATCTCTTTCCTCCTCCAGTTGCTTCAACAATACCCTGCAACCACCAATTTTAGAATGTAATATATTGACAACTAAGAGAACATACCAACACATCTATATTTATGTATATGTCCTTGAGTATATCTGCACACAGTGTATGTGGACAAGTGGGATAATAACAAATGTGTACAGAGGAAGAGCTAGTGTGCAAGATGTTGACAATACCAAAGCATGCCCTCCCCCTCCCCACAAACATACCTCAAATTCTTGATGTACCAATATATATTCAAATAAGCTGCCTTTCCGCAATGCAATTTAGGGTCAATACTGGCAAGACAGACTAGCTTATTTTCTATTTTTAGCTGTATGCATTTTTCATTTTTCTTTTTTCTTTTTCTCAGCTCTAAATTTCTGTAGGTTCTTTTCTCTGGCAGTTAATTTGCTCCAGCAAAATATGTTATTTGTAGGCTTAAGGTATAAATTTAGTGGTTTTCAAAATATTTTTGAAAATAGCTTAACATAGAAGAATTTACTGTCCCAAAGGATAAAGGAATACCACACTCTTTATTACATTCTGTAAGAAATGAGACCATTTAAAACCTTACAAAAAGCTCAATAAAATGACTTTACTAACATGCCAACATTTACTAAGAGGAAGTGAGTATAAATTATGAAATTAGATATGCTGCTTTGACCCAGTCATCAGATTGTCATGTGTGGTTTTTCAGAGGTGGTGTCCTGGTTTTTTGGTTTCTTGTTTCAGGGTTAGAGTTTGTCCTTCATGATAATTCCTAATAATATGTTAATCTGGGGGTGGAAAACTTACAGTTTTTCAGGGAAGTGGGAGGAGATTCCCAGAATCATGTACTTTCCCATTTTATGTTCTTGTATGGCTGATTCCAGAGCTGTCATGGTGTTAAGGGGTGTGAGTTTTATTAATACTATGTTAATGAGGGAAATGTTACCTTTGGTCATAAGCTCTTAGCTTCTGCGCGTGCTTCTGGTCGGAAAAAGTTCCTAGCTTTAAGTTTTTATTGTTGTGGTTTCTTGTTTTGACCTTCCGCCCTTGACCACATCCCCCTATCATCTGTCCTGCTACCTGTATGTCTAACTGTCTAGCCTGCCACCTGCATACCCTTATTTCTACCTAACGCCACCTGCATACTCTCAACCCTACCTAACAAGATCTCTGAAAATATTAATGTAATGACCTCACTCGTCTGCTAGTGTTAGGGGAAAGAGAAGTACTGGAGCTATAATGTTTAAAATGTTGCTTTGATGGGCTAACAGAACTCCCTTGGGCTAGGAGATTCAATACTGCATGTCAGAGTTGTTTTAAACATATCCTCAGGTTCCACCTTCTCTCTTGGCACCAACAATCAGAGTCCTGAGGCTTATGCTAAATAAAATATCTCAGAATAAATATCTCAGAATAAATAAAATATCTCAGAATTGCCTGATAGTGATATCAGGCAATGTCCACTGCCTTAATTAATTCTATCTCCAAGTCCATATGATCATTGAACTCCAGGGAGGCCTAGGTGGCTCTAGCCCAACAGTGACACCCCACTCTTTCTTTCCATCCTTTAAGCTAAAAGTAAATGTTGTTTGGATCAATTGTTGCCTAGACACTTAATCAATGTTTATTGTCCAGCTGAGTTTACAGTAGATGCTGCTGTTTCTCCTCATGTCTACCAATGTTTGAGATTACACAGTGTGACCATCCTACGTGACCTGGAATTACTTCTGCTCTGAGCATTGGGTTCTAGAATCACTGTTCTGTTTCCATCCATGTTATATTTTTCCTGGAGAGTTCATAGATCAACCAATACCATATTTATTATTTCTTACAGCATCTCTATGTGATAGGTGCTATAAACTATTATGACAGCCACTCCTGGAAGAGAAACCAAGGCATAGGGAATGAAAGTAAGCTGCTCAGGTTCACAGAGTGAGTCAAAATACAGAACAAAGAGAGTCAAGGCCAAACCTCTACCTTCCATACAATTTTCTAGAATTAACTTTAAAATTTCATTCATGATATTACTTTTCCAGTTTTATGGTGAATAAGCTTGCCAAATGCCATGTGGCAGGCTCTCCCTTAGAATTTAGAAATCTGCATCTTATAGCCACACGTGAGGGGCACTCCACTCTGCTGCTTTGCTGAACAAAGTCAGCTTTGAGAACATTACAGCTGAGGCCAACAGTCACCAGCACTGAGCCATCAAACAAGTCCTTCCTTGCACATGGAAGAGAAGGTAGGTCATTGGTTCTAGAGCAGTGTGTGTTTGTTTTAATCACAGCCTCCATTGAGAATTTAGTGAAAGCTGAGTATCTTCCTAGAAAAATGTGCATATACAAATATGTAAAGTTTCACCCATAGTTTGGGATATAGTTTTCTGGATTCTTGAAACTTCTGAATTAGTAAAGGAGTTATACAATAAATATTAAAATTATTTAAAATACCTTATTTTTAAAAAAATGAGTGTATGCTATCACTTTCTATTTGTTTCTCTCAAACTCTGGGGTGTAATTTTCTGGATGTTTCATGACTTTAGCCAATGAGTACTAACAACAAGAGATTCTATCAGGCCAGTGGAACCTTCCGAGTGACATTTCAGACTTCTTTCTTTTCTCTTAGGTGTCAACTGTGGAATTTAATCTTTTATGTAGAAGGTGCTTTACTGAAGGGTTTGTAGACAGTTCAGAGGGATTCTTTTTCTGACCAAGGCATTTTTACCCTATTTTCCAGGAGTTTAAAATTGGTAGGTATTGTCTTCAGATTGTCTTCATTTACAGAATTATAATGATTCTTCTATTAAGTGCCAACCTCACTAGGAAGAGTTCAGTTTGCCTAAAGAATATATCCAGAAGATAGATATGTGATTGCAAAATATGTAGGGAAAAAGTAGAGAACTTAATTACCTAGATGTTACACCTAAGTCGCCTGACACTTCTTTATGTAACGGCATGTGGGATATATTTCCTATGTTAATATCGTTGGTGTCTCTGGAGAACAATGGCAAAGGAAAGAACATTACTTCTAGAAAGTACATCTGTAGCTAATGATGTGCATTTCATTACATGTTCTCAAGAGCCTCTTCTTTTAATCTTGTCAGAGCTATCTGATCTATTCCAGAAGCTGCCTCCTAGTAAGATTGCTAAAATCTCCAAATGTATTGTGGATACTTACCTGGGAACTTGTGTTCTTGGCTGAGAGCAAGTAAACGTTTCAATTCTGTAGGGACAAAAAGAAAACAAACCTTAAACTACTAAAACAAAAGTCACCTGATAATGAAAAATAGTTGAGAAATTAAAGCAACATTAGATTTGTGAATGAACTGAATCGAAACTTACCTTCCTCATCTATTAAGTAGCTCGATGCTATTCCATCAGTGTCTGTTACATCGCAAGAGTAAATGCCCAAGTCATCCATCCCGAGGTCTTTGAAGGTTATTTTCGTCCTTTAGAACGAGATATTGTTCTTAGATATAAGGCTGTGTGGGATCTGTGTACCTGTGTTTCACCCTGTCTCCCGGCACTTGCATATGCTACTCCATTCATTTGGAACACGTACTTCCTCTGTTCTTGCTGAACTAAAGCCTACCTTGGTGTCTCAGGTTAAATGTCATTTCTTCTGGGAAGGCTTTCCCGACTGCCTTCCAGGGGGTGATGGTGATCCAAGACTGGAGCTGGTACAAATCCCCAACTTCAGACTATTGCATATCAGTGCACATCCTGCATAAGGATATTTAGCTGATCAGCCCTTCCTGGGGAGCCTACAATTTTTTTCACCACGGGGAGACCTGCTGCTGGTAACCCCGGGTGCCTCTCCTAACTCTGAGTGCCTGGTAACCAGGGTGTCATTTTGGCACTTCTCTTTTGTGAACTTATACAGCATCTGTATTCTCCCCACTGTATAATCCCTGTGCCTTCACAGGCAGGATCTGCTTTGTTTACTGTTGTACTTCTAGCACCAGCACCTTGTCTGGCATATGATATGTAGAATAATAAATTAATGTCTCAGTGGTTTATAGTTCATGGTGTTTTCTAACTTTGGCAAGTTATATTGCTAGTCAGTGTCTACGAGCAACCAAACATTTAAGTGTCAAGTGTACAATATGGAAGAAAAATTTATAGTTTGATGATCTTTTCTTGGGCCAAATATGTTTTACTTCAAGAACTTTACAGCGTAGTGACATAAAAATGTCTTTTAATTATATTCAGTATTTCCTTGCCATTCTCCAACAAAATTGCTTTTATTTTTAATTTCTGAGATATATTGGGCTTCATTGTAATAGGAAAAAATACTTTGTTTTATCAAATATAATCCAAAATGGTTGACACTATGAAAATATAAAGCTCAATAAACTTTTGCTATAAGGCAAAGTAAAAAGAAAAGTCAAAAATTTGGAGCTGAAAGGAAGTGATAGATTATAAAGTCTCTCCCTCCTAAATTTTACAGAAAAAGAAATCTGAAGTCCATGGAAGTTAAATAGGTGTCTAAGGTCATATAGCCAGCTCCTGGTAGAGCCTGGCCTAGAACTTATCTATCCTGTGTGTCCACTGAAAGGAAATAAAGATTTCCTTTCAGTGTACTATTGTATCACTCATAAGTGACGATGAAAAAAGCAGAAGAGATTATACTTAGGCCTTCTAACTTATCATAACTTGCATCAGCAAGTAGCAAGTTCTTCCTAGTCCCCCATAAACTTCCTCATCCCTATGTTAAGATTTCAAAATTTCATAGATGAGAATCATCTTTAAAGCTGACTTTAATGTCAATTAAGCTTTTCTAACATCATAAATGAGATAATATTTGAGAAAGCACTTTAAATGGAATAATGGGAAAAGTACTTTATAAGGATTATTATTTTTAAGGTTTAAGTTGGTTATGATTTTTTACAATACCAGATACAAAATATTTGTGACTTCAACTTCTTATTCCAAGTAATTTAAATGGGATTCAAAGAGCTCACCTCATGCTCTGACAGTGAAAAGGAAACTCATTATTATGATTGAAATAGTCCTTACTTGTTGCCTTTGCTGTCAACTTCTAGTCGAGTAGAGTCCTCAGTGGACACATAATCTTTGGACCAAATGAATTCGGACTTTGGAGACATTTGATCACATTCGAAATTCAATGAAATGACTCCATCATCATCCACGTGTACAACAACTTCTTTGGTTCCTAGAAGATCAAAAAGAAGGCACTGATATTTTGTGGTAAAAATCAGCCAAGTAAGAATTTGTTACCTTGAGATCCTTCATTTTAGCCTTAAAGCAGGGCTTAAGCATGGCAAGGGAAAAAACCCCAAACGCTCACTGTAGAAAGACAGTCCTGCCTCTACAATTCAACTTCTATACTATAATATGGAATTAAATGAATATGCCACATTTCAACACCATGGATGGTATTGCTTTTCCAGGGCTGAAGAAAAATTGGTTGATATGACTGATGGTACAGTTATGGGAGCAGATTGGTTGTAACAGGGGACAAGGGGACAAGTCAGCCTTGAAAAAAGGGAAAGTCAAATGATCCATATCAGGCCATAATTTATGACTTTTCCTTCAATAACAGCCACAGTCAATCAGTCATCAGGAAAGGATAGAGATATAGAAACCAAAGGGTATTAAACAAGAGAAAGTAGAGAGACTAAGACTTGCCTACATTCACATGCTCAAAGTTTATAAGTCACTTAACAATGGAGAAATACATGGAAACTTGCTCTGCTGATCAAAATCGATTTGAAGATGCCCCTCTAGATTAGAATGATAGCAACTTAGAAATGACTATTATTGAGTAAATTTAAATGGAAATGAGTTTCAAGAGATTTAGCTGCTTCAAAAAGATTGGCTTTTGGATTTTAAAAGAATACAATTGAGTTACGGTTTTGGGTTATTTTAGAGAGTTATAATAAATTGCAACTGCAACTAATATATCAACTCAAAGAGAGTTTGGATAGCATATTAAATGTTCATATCTATGCCTAAATCCAGTTTAAATGCTTTACTCAAATTTATACTCATTCATTTGCCAGTCTAAACTTGGTTTGTTTCAGTACATTAGGAAAATATATTATTTTTAATCTAAGAAAGGTACAGTTTTGTTTTTAAAAAAGCATAAAAAAATCTTCCAGTAGATACTTCCCAAGGGATTGAATGTTTTCTCTCTCAGTTGTATCATAAGAGGCTAACATTCTGACCTACTGTCCAATAAAAACTTATCAGTGGAGAAAAAATTGCAAAAGGCCTCCCAGGAGAAGGCCAAGAGGAAACCAGTGACCAAACAGTTACTGGCAGAAGGATCTTGGTTCCTGAGCCTGACAGTTGATCTGACTTGTGTTCTTACTGATGGCAGTGTGTGCTTCAACTATAAACCTCCAGAAAGTTATTGCCAGTACATGTAAAGCTTAGAGAAGACTAGTTACAAAAGAATTTTAAACATTCTTTTTTTTTTGCCAGGCATGGTGGCTCAGGCCTGTAATCCTAGCATTCTGGGAGGCCAAGGTGGGAGAATTGCTTGAGCTCAGAAGTTTGAGACCAGCCTGGGCAAAAGCAAGACCCAGTCTCCACTAAAAATATAAAAATTAATCAGGTGTGGTGGCTCATGCCTGTAGTCCCAGCTACTTCAGAGGCTGAGGCAGGAGGATCGCCTGAGCCCAGGAGTTTGAGGTTGCTGTGAACTATGATGATGCCACTGTACAATACCCAGTGCGACATAACCAAACTCTGTCTTTAAAAAAAAAATTGGTTTTTTAAACAAACAAATATGGGGTATTTTTATATTTGCCTACATAGATAAACTGAAATAATGATCAATTAAAGGCTTAACTGTTCCTTAAATGAAATGTCCACCATATGTTACTTTTAAAGGATTATGTCTTCCCCATTGGAAGTTGCAGAGCATGTTTTATTTGTTACTGATAACATATGACTAATCTTTACACTTCATTGTAGTATAATAAATATTGAACAAATGCTCTTATTAAAACTTAAGAAAAGACTAACACTGAAAAGTGGTGAGGTTTAGGCAATGTTACAATATACAGTTTGCAGGGCCAAGTCAAGAGAGAATGGATGGAGTGATGGAATTTTACTTTTTGCATAATACCTATTTTGGAAGCACGACAGATTGCTCTATTAATCATTCATTATCTTATCTGTAATCCTTTTTTAAAAGGAAGTGCATTATCCATATGCTTGCTGTTTGTTATATTAGAGGTATGCTTAAGGCTACAACAGAAAAATATTGCTTAGGTTAGGAATCTTGATTTTACTAAAGTGAAAGATTTGACTTTTCTGTGAACAGAAGAGCCATGAAACTGAAAGAATACGGACAATTTAATTAGTTTCACCTTTCTCTCAATTCTGTAGCTAACCTTTGTACTATAACACCTCACCCATTTGGAACCTTGCCCCAAACCATGAAGCAAGGAAAATAATCCCTAAGAGCCAGTACGGATATGACAAAGTGCACACACTAGTATCCTGCACACTCACTGGAGAATTCCACAGACCACCACTTGGAATCTATTTATACTTCGCTCGAGACAAGCCTAGTTGGTTGATTTCCCTCAGTAGATTCAACTAAAAAAAGAGATAGAAGAAGCTACTATCAGCAGACACACTGAGAAGAAGGAAAATGACAGCAAGAGAAGAGGCAGAAAAACAAAAAAGTAGGCTGAAAGACATTATTTAGTATAGGGATAAATAGCTCCTCACCCCATAATGATATTGCTATATTGAAACAATAATAAATAAGGTTGATACTTAGGGCTCTGAGGCATAGAAAAAGGTAAATAAGATTCAGTATGCTGCATCCAAGAAGATTGAAAAGCACTTACTGAACTGTGTAATCTGTTTTAAAAGAATTTTCAGCGAAGAATCTTAAAATGAAATTTTAAAGTATTGATGCTTTAGCAGTAAACTCTCAGGTCAATGGAACAACTCGGTATCTAAAACAATAATTTGTTCAGGTTTTTGAGTGGTCAAATTTAAGCCCAAACCCATGTGACTTGGAAAATAGGAAAATCCTGCTTAGTTGCTGTCTCAATTGCCTCAATTACTGAGAGAATACTATAGAGCTGAATCATTGAAGTACTGCTGGCCCTTTGTATCTGCAGGTTCCAAATCCATGGATTCAACTAACCCCGGAAATATTTAAAAAATAAAAAATAATGATACAACAATAAAAAATCATACAAATAAAAAACCAATACAGTATAACAATTATTTACATAGCATTGACAATATATTAGGTATTGTAAGTAATCTAGATTTGATTTACAGTATACAGGAGGGGCTGGGTGCGGTGGCTCACACCTATAACCCTAGCACTCTGGGAGGCTGAGCCTAGAGGATCACTTGAAGTCAGGAGTTCAAGACCAGTCTGCTCTGAGCAAGAATGAGACCCTGTCTCTACAAAAATAGAGAAATTAGCCAGGCGTGGTGGTGTGTGCCTGTAGTCCCAGCTACCCAGAGGCTGAGGCAGGAGGATTGCTTGAGTCCAGGAGTGTGAAGTTGCTGTGAGTTGGGCTGACGCCACGGAACTCTAGCCTGGGCAACAGAGCAAGACTCTGTCTCAAGGAAAAAAAAGTATACAGGAGGAAGAAGACTATGTAAATACTACACCATGTATAAGGGACTTGAGCATCCATGGATTTGGGTACCTTCAGGGAGTTCTGAAACCAATTCCCCGAGGAAAATGAGGGGACTCTATTCTGGAAAATTAATCTTTGTAGAGCACTTGGAGATCTTTAGTGAAAATATAAAGTAAAACAAAAGATGTTGTTTTCCTTGTTTTTGTAAAAGATGTTATTTTTAGGTCCCAAGCAATATATGTATCTCCACCTCAACCTATGAGTCATGTATCATTACTTTACAGCTGAGTTGTAACATAAGAAATGTGATAATTTATACTTTTAGAAAAGGATGTGATAATTTTTCCAGGTCTTGGATTAGAATTTGTAATTTAAAATTAAGTAATTGTTCAGGGAGACGAAGTAAGAGGTAAGGATTATTTGTAATGTCATCTAGTATCTAAGAGAGTGCTCCTTATCTGTGAAGCTTTCCTTGATTAATCATGTCAAATCAGCATATCTGTAACATCTGTAGGGTATAGAAAAGAGAGGCATGAATATTTCTTCAACTTATGCACACATAATTGTGGCTATAATGGGTGCTACTGGTTGATTTATTTGAATAATGAATGTTAAAAGGGACAAATAAAGAACAGTTAAAACTACATTTGGCACTTAAGATTTAAAAATCAAAACTCATTAAGATAAGTGTTTGATTGGATTTTCATTTTTCAAAATGTTGCACTGGTTGTTTAGTTTATTGAGAACAGGCTTAAATTCTACAAAGACAGGTCATATTTTCTATATATATTTACATGTTCCAGGGACGAGATTGAAAAAACAGCTTTAAAAGAAAAATGGCAATTTAAAATTGTAACATTTATTGTATTGGAACTTGTCGTATTAAAGCTAAAGTTTAACAACAATGCTTTGATAAATAGGTGAGAGGAAGTTCAAGTACCAACAAAGAAAATATTCTAGTGGCACTAGGTTTCCTACTTAATTTTATACTCAGAATTTGAAGCTTAATCTCCTCCCTGACAAATCGATGATGCTGTCAACTAACTGAAAGTATCATTCTAAAAGTAATCATAATCTCACACTTCTGAAATACCAAATTCACTGAAAATATTTCAAATACTAGTTAGTTAAGCATATTTCTGGAGTTCCATCACAATTCTCATTAGAAAATGTTTAGTCAAATAACTAAATATTGCAAAGAAAGAATGCTTTTGAAATCATGTCATTGTGTGAACATAAGATAAAGTTATTATTTCAAAATGATGAATGCAACAAGTTATAGTTCCTTTCCTATTTGTCACATGAATTACAATGCTGATGCTATCATACCCTTTCAAGATAGCTTTTCAAGTTCAAAGCCTTCTGTTACTGTTTGGTTTTAATTAATTTGTTAACATAGTTCTTTGAATAAAGGCATTTTTTAAATTTAATTTTATTTATTTAATTTAATTTTTTTATTTTTTTGAGACAGAGTTTCTCTGTGTTGCCTGGGCTAGAGTGCCATGACGTCAGCCTAGCTCATAACAACCTCAAACTCCTGGGCTCAAGCAATCCTGCCTCAGCCTCCCAAGTAGCTGGGACTACAGGC